TGTGCTGGTTGGGCGACATAACAGGTTACCGCTACTGTTTATTCCAAAAACATTGTGCGTCTTTCGGTATTAATTTATCTCTAAACCCAGCATTTTAAATTCTCAGAAACGATCATTGCGGGAAAATTGTGGGCCGGGACTAAGATTTTTGAACGATAGTTCGAGGAACGATAGAAGCGGGAAAATGTAACATTATTTTATATGGGATGTATCCGGTACCGAACAAAACGGACGATGCATCCGGGAAAACGATAGTTCCGGGAACGATGGATAGAGGTTTCACTGTAACACCAAATTTAAAATATTCACTTCTTCTTGAACAGAAAAATGGCTACATGTTGTGCACAACTGCCAAGTTGCTATTTCCCAGAAATAATAACCAAAGTTACATTCCTTATGGGAAATTGGGGTTATATGAATTACTACTAACACTTATCAAAGCATAATCAAACTGCCCATTTCTTCATTAAACACACACACAAAAAAATGCAGGTCTAATAACAATAAACATGTAATGGAGAAAATATGTATAATGAATTATTTTTGGACTATCAGCCTTGTCTGGTGGTTTAATGGAGAAAACACCAACGTTTCGAGAACCATCTTCATCCTCATCCTCAGAGTACTAAAAGTACTAAGTACCCTGAGGACAAGGATGAAGACGGTTCTCGAAGTAGTGATTCCTCCATTAAACCACTAGACATGGCTGGTGGTCTGAGAAGAATTTGTTATACTTAGTCGCTGTGAAAGCTTCAGATCAGAGGAAGTATGACTATCCAAATTATTAATCCTGAAGGTAAAAAATTGATTCAGATGCCATTACAGCTTTGCACCACGCAAATATGAATCTCTTGGTGTAAAACCCACCGATCTTTCAAAAACCAGATAAAAAAAAACAAAATAGTGTGGTTGAATAAATGGGACAGAAATTGAAATTCACAGCTGGCAAATGATTTCCATATTAAGACATTAATATAATTTTTTTTAATTTACCTTGATTAATGACATTTACAAAAATGTCATTCCTGATCTAATCTAACCACTTTTTGTAAATATGCCATCAAGACAATTTATTGACTGGTTCTATCATTTTACCACAGGAGGAAATGGAATTATAAATGTCAGTGTGACTACCACCTTAAACAATATTTGAACTTACTCTTTTAACTGCTGGCAAATCCATCAATTGTAACAACTCAGCTGTACAACAGTGAGAAAGCTGCTGGGTAAAGTTGACTAAGAGATCTCGGAATGCCCAAAACTCCTTCATCTCCTGTGCATAAAATACAAGCTATAAAACCACGTATGTGACACTGCAAGTGGCAGATCTAGAGACAAACGCTAGTCTGCGTGCAGACTCAGATCTACCGACATAGTTGGGCACAAATCTTACTTTGTTATTAGCACTCTGAACACTTCTCACCTTCTAATTGCACTTAACATAAAAGTCACTTTATTTATGTGATATTCATAATCGTGTTAAACGTCCCTCACAAAACTAATTTTTAATTGCCACAGCTGTAATCTTGCAATTTTCTCACTTCTATTTATTTTATACGCACAGTGACATCTTCTACAAGCCTGTGAGTTGAGTAGTGATAAGATTATAATACTCAGCAAAAGGTTTAATTTTGTTATAACAGCACTGTAAATATCATATTTTCTAACCTCACAGAAACGCAGCACACAAGAAGAAAAGGCAGCTGAAGAGGTCATAAGGGTCTGAACAAAGCCACGTGGAACCTCATATTCATCTGCGACATCCCACACAGATCTCTGATTCCACAGGTCATACAGCATCAGTGTTAAGTAGAATCTATTAAGCACCTGTCCCTGTCCTGACTAACATCAAGCAGGTATCAGTAAACAAATACAAAAGTCAATAAAACTTTTGCGGCTGATCAACCAAGAAAATTTTATTGAGTTACGTCGCCACGAAAGCTTCAAAACAAATACAAAAGTGCATGAAGTTTGGGATTATCCTGAAATTCACTGCACTAAAATAAACTGTATTAAGTGTAAAGAACACTAACTCCAAGGAGCAGAGTCCTTGATAAGCTAATAGTTGCTATGCTATTCAATAAATTTCTTTTGTCTTTTATGGAACGTGAATGTTCATCATTCATGTGTTTATAATAAATTGCCAATGGAACTATCTTAAGCCAAGCCACATCTTCACACCATGTCGTTACTTCCCTTCAGGTTTTCTGACTAAAATGTTGATGAATAACAAACAAGTTACACTTTAATGTACAACTTTGGCTTTCAAGATGAGCCACATCAAATGTTGAAAATTATCCAACATTTCAGCAGACATTGCAGTTGCCACTCTCAGAGTGAGTATGCAATGGATAACATTTCTGGAAGCCTTAAATAGGGCAGGTAGTAGGTCGTAAGTTGGATTTTATGGTGCCGATTTGTTAAGCAGAACAGGACGCTGCTG